CGATCATGTTTCGAGTTACAGAAATAGAAACAAAACCATATACTACCGAGGGCCAGCATGGGCTAAGCAGGGTTTGTGGATTATCTCCCTAAATCCTCTTCCAATATTCCCCATGTGGCCTAGATGATCAACCCCAGTTTCTAGATGGGAGAACAGAGACTGGCGGGGGGTGGGTATTTTGCCCTGCAAAGTGACGGAGCCAGGACTCGACCCAGGTGTGTGGGTGTCAAAGGCAGCATCCCGAACCCTGAGCTGTTCTCCTGCTTCCCTGCGGGGCATTGCGCCAAGGGCTCTACCTATCCCAAAACAGCGCTAGGAAAACAAAACCTAAACGGCCCGAGCATCCGAGCAGATGCCACAAGCCTTCTTATTTGAGACACGATCCCAGCAAGGGGTCAACCTCCTTTTCTCAGACGCAGCGGTTGAACAGGAAGGGAGTTATAGTGGAGGCTGACAGGAGTGATGAAAACAATAACGGACCAAGCCTACGAACCTGGGGCCACTGAGTATAGGGGCAGATGGTTCTAGCTACAGCAACATCGTTGCACCTGGAGTGGTTGTTGACTTCAAGTCATCAAGAAAAGGCTGCATCGTGTAGGAGACTGCCAAGCTGCAGGGCAAATAACTCCAGATTCTCTGTCAGAAAAGAGGGATGGAGCAGGGCACCACCACCTCCTGGGAGAGTCTTTAAGGTTCCTGAGCCTTCGCTTCATCACCTGTGAGGTGGAGACAATGAGCCTGACCCCCCACGGACTGCCAGCAAGATTCAACAAGTTCCTGAGGTCAAAAGCCCTTGGTCAACTGTAGCCATGGTGAGGTACCATGTTTTCTATGTTCTGCTTAAGAAGACGGGGAAGGAGGCACGACATTTATGGATGTTTTCCAACAATATGGGGAAACAATAGAAACCTGCAGTACTTCAAGAGGTAGATTTCATTATCTAGAAACTTCCCTCTTGCAGGGCCTCTTGGGAAGCTGAGGCAACAGGATGCATAGTAACTGTGCCAGCCTCTTGGCCTCTCTACCAGAGCATACACCCGGTCCCCCTTCTGCTTGAAGATTATCCAGGGTCTCAATCAACACATCTAATGGGATTGAGGGCAGAATAGTACACTGGGTATAGACTCCAAAATCTGGAAGCTGCTAGTTCAAAAAGAGGCCAACTGCTCTGTGGGGACAAGCTGCTGAGACACTGATTTTGCCTTCAGTCCAACCCTGGGGGAGGTCATTTAGACTTCAAACCAGATATCCTTGGGGGATACCAAGTGGCAGCCAGCCGGGTCCCTCGGTGGAAAAGCCAGCTGTGGAATCAGCATTGTCTCTTAATTAATTTAACTTTCATTTGCTGAGCGCCTACCATGAAGCAGGCACTATGTGGGCAAAGCAAGGGACTCAGACACAGGCAAGTTCCTAGCCTAGAGGAGCTCAGGAGGAGCTGGAGGAAAGGCACACGGGAGGAGGAAACCAACATGATAATGGACACTAACCCTCACCAAGCATTTACCAGGTGCCTGGCACTGTGCTAAGACCTTTATTTTTTATTTTTTTAAAGATTTTTATTTATTTATTTGACAGAGAGAGACACAGTGACAGAGGGAACACAAGCAGGGGGAGTGGGAGAAGGAGAAGCAGACTTCCCGCCGAGCAGGGAGCCCCATGCGGGGCTCGATCCCAGGACCCTGGAATCATGACCTGAGCCGAAGGCAGACGCTCAATGACTGAGCCACCCAGGCGCCCCTGTGCTAAGACCTTTACAGGTAGCGTCTGATTTCGCCCCCCGCCACACTCCCATTCTTTTTTTTTTTTTTAAGATTTTATTTATTTATTTGACAGAGAGAGACACAGCGAGAGAGGGAACACAAGCAGGGGGAGTGGGAGAGGGAGAAGCAGGCTCCCCGCCGAGCAGGGAGCCCGGTGCGGGGCTGGTCCTGGGATCATGACCTGAGCCGAAGGCAGATGCTTGACGACTGAGTCACCCAGGCGCCCCCCACACTCCCATTATTAACCACCTACATTCTATAGAGGTAGAAAGCAAGGGGCAGGGAAGTGTAATTAGCTACCCAAGGTCTGCAGCCAGCAAGTAGTGGAGCCGGGATTCGAACTCAAGCTTGGACTCCAGGGGCCATGCCTACCACCTCACAACCAGCACAATAGGCGGGTACAGGTAAAGGTGCCATGTGGGAATGCCGGGGTGGGGGTGGGCTCTGGAGTATGGGGTGGAATCAGCCAGATTGGGGTTCTGGAACTGCTCTGCCCCTCAAGAACTTGAGGGACCCTGAGGGTCAGCTGGTTTTTTGGGGCAAAGGAGGCCAATGATGCCTTTCTGGGAAGACAGCCCTGAAGATCAGAGGAACTGACCTGGTGAGGGTGCATGGTGCCATCTTGGGCATGTTCCACTGGACCAAAAGGGATCAGCAAAAGCCCATGAGGCTTGGGGGGTGGGGAGGAGGTGGTCAGGAAAGGCCTCCATGAAAGAGGTGACTTTTTAACAGCGGCCTTGAAGGCTCAGTAAATTTGGATTGACTTCAAGGAAGGAAGCAGGGTGGGGTGGGCATGAGCAAAGACCCTGGAGATGAAAAGACTGAAGGCCCATTTGGGGACCAAGTTGGCTGGAACCCATGGAGAAAGCCAGGGAGTAAGGGAACCATGGCTGGAAAGGAGGGTGAGTCCACATTTAACCTGGCAAGGCAGGCGCCTCTGGCCATGTTTACTGAGAATCCATTTTGCACGTGTGCCAGAGACGGGGCATTATAGCGTTCATCCTTTGAAGACATGCTCTTTAAAGAAAGAGGGGAGATAAACGTAGCAAAGTCAGCTCTCTCTTTAAAGAGCAGGAAGGCACAGCAATTGGCTGGTTGGCTCCTTCCCTCCAGCCTCCCCGCCGCCCTCCCCCCCGCCCGGCACTGCACATTACATGACACCGGGGAGCAAAGGGCACCTGCTGCTGAATATTAAACAGACCCTAGGCATAAGCACCATTTCAGTGCATGCCCATGTGGGGACACACACACACACACACACACACACACACACACACACACACAGCGAGGGGGGCAGGGGAAGAAGCCAATTTGATTTTCCAAAAGATTGCATAATTCTTAGGTGCTATTAAAATAGCTGATGAAGAATCTACTTTAATCTTTTTTGGGTGGGCGTTGAAGGCCTGAAGAGCATTGCTTAGATATTTCTGACAGAATCATTTACAGGAAATAAGCCACCACCAGCACAGAGCTGCAAAGCCAACAGCTCCTAAAACCATCACCTCCTGCACCCTCTTGGGGCCTCGGATGACACCCTGGATGCCCAGGGCGGGTCAGGGGGTGACCCTAGCAGGGGGCGTGCCCACCAGCAGCTCCCACAGGTCAGGTGCAGCTTCACTGACACAGGAAGAAACATTGCTGCCGAAATGGTCCCCTCCTCCCGGGGCCCGAAGACCTTCCTATCAGTGTCAGTCACGTGGCACATAACCACGTCCAGCCTACACCCGCTCTTCTGTTCTTGGCTCGAACTTATTGAAAACAATCTCCTTTGTAACTCTTTAGGGGCGTGTGACACGCCTCCTCAACCAAACTGTGAACATCTTGTCCCACGGCCGGAGTTATGCCCTATCACAATCCTGTGTCCATGTGTCCGGGATACAAAAGATAACAGATATCTGGCCGCAATGCTAGGTAATGAATCCCAATTCTTTCCTCTGATAATTTGGTTCTTGGATGTCTACTAACATTATCTTCCAATAATATAGTCACAAAATTATGCATCTGCACATTCCAAGAGTCTAGAACGGTGCCTGGCAGACAATAATAGTCCAGTAAAGGCTCCTTCTGAAGCTATCTTAATTTCATTTTGGAAGAAAGTCTTCTTCCATCAAGTTGGGATGGGCATTAGGCAAAGGAAGGGAGGAGGCAGAGTTTGGGGAGGTTGCAGAAGAATCTTCCAGGCATCAGGAACAGCCGGAGCAAAGGTCTGGAGTGTATGTGTGTGGCCCTGTGGCAGGGAACTGGCTTCGGGGCCGTCTGGAGGAGCAGTAGGTCTTGGACAGAGTCAGTCGGACAGAGTTAGAGGACGTGTCCCCTCCCATTCGAGCAGGAGGCAAGGAGGAAAGCAGGCAAACATGTGGTCTGATGGCAGAACACTAACAAGGCTTCCGTAGGACGGCTTCTCCTTTCTCTCTGAAGAGGGAGGTGAGAATTCTTCTGCGTGGGAGGAGGGTTAGGGGAGAGGGGAGAGGTTTCAGGAGAGAGGCAAAGGTTTGAAATAACCACGGAGGAGAGAGGAGACAGAACTAAACGGGCGGGGGGGGGGGGGGGGGGGGTGGAAGGATTTCTGCGTAGGGTTAAGGGTCCAGGAGACGTTGGAGACCACACTTTTCCGCAAATTACGCCGACGTCCGTGGCTGGTCAAGGTGTCTTCAGCCCCTGGGTGTAGGGGGACTGATGGAGTTTCATCAGGTGGGAAGGAGGGAGAGGTAGCAGGGGGCTCGCAAGGGAATGGCCTGGGTAAAGGACCGTGGGCTGGACAGAGCAGGGAAGAAGCAGGCTTGTGGGCTGCGAAAGACAAATGGGGTACAGGTGACTGGGGTTGCTGGAAGTAGAGGGGTCATGGTTAGGAGGGGCAAAGCAGGGCAGATGTCGTTGATATCAAGGGTCCAGACGCGGCCGGGAGTGGGGGGCTGATGTGGAAGGGAGGTCACGGACTCGGTGTTGAAGGCTTGCACTAACAGACAAGGACGAGAGGCCCCAACTCAACACAAGCCCTGAAAGCAACCACTGAGCCTGGAGGGTGCCCAGAAATCAGTCAGTCCAGCAGCTTCTCCCCAAACCGGGGTCACTGAACGAGCCGGGGCCTGCCCCCAGGTCAGCCCACGGTGCTCCCCAGCCCGGCCCCGGGAGAGGAGCCAGGAGGCCCCCCACCCGCGCGCCCCCAAGCCAGGGCCGACCCACCGACCGGAAGCACGTGGCCCCCTCCGCCGCGTTGCCCCGGAGACGCGGGCTGTTTACCAGCCGGACGGAGGCGGGCGCCGGCGGCGGATGGAGCAGCGGCCGAGGTGAGCGCGCCCCGCCGCCTGGGGACGCGGCGGGGGCTCCCCGGCCTCGGCCCCGGTGGCGCCCCCAGGGGACAGGACGGGGCCCGGGGAGAAGCGGCCACTCCCGGGGCAAAGCCAGCCCGGCCCAGCTCACCGTTGCCGGAATGGGACAGCTCCCCGGCTCCGCGGAAGCCGAGGGGCCTGGGAAACCGCCGGGCCATGCCCTCCTGGCTGGGCAGTGCGGACGGGGGACACGGACAGACCCACAGGGCCCAAAGGACGTCCTGCACACGGAGAGACCGGAACCGGATCAGAGCCTCCTCCAGACCCATGCTCTTTCCCCCAGGCACCTCTCACTTTCTAGGCGTTCTTTCTTGCCCCTCCCCCAAATGCCTGCTGCGGCTGTTCCAGCTCAGCTCCTTTCCTTTTAGAGCTGTCCGTACGTGGAAATAATTGAGCTCTCCTCCTCCACCTCCCCCCACCCCACGCTGCTCTTGCAACCATCCCCACTGCCTTTTCCAAACCTTTGATCACTTGGTGGCTTGTGGTCCAATTTCTCCACTCCCCCTTTTAAACGTGGCACTCTGCGTGGGACAGTGCATTCTAATCATTTAGTCGGGGGTAGAGCTGGGAATGCTACCAAAGTTTTCTCCTGCTCAGGCCAACTACCATCTCCTGTTGATTCTGCTGAGTGCTTTCATCTTGAGAGCCTCACAGGGGGCGGATTGGGGTGGGGTGGGGTTGTTGGCAGGGGATAGTATTAACTGATAAACATTTTTAAAAGACCAATTCAAATGTATGCATCCTCGGTATGTATCAGCAGATGGTATGTGGGTGGGTGTATTTTACTGCATTTGCTGTGGGTTTAGATTTGGGTTGTGAGTGAAATGGGGTGGTCTGACCCTGTGCTGAGAGGTGGGCTCCTTTGGAAAGCAGGAATATGGCCTCAGCCTTTCCTGTCCAATGTTCTTCGTTTCCAGTTGATTTGGCAATTCATCTTAAGCAATGGGCACCTTTTGGCAGTTCCCTGGAAACAGTTACGAAGAATGTTTGTTTCCTGACTCCTAGCAGGCCTCTGGGGTGCAGCTATTCTGTTTAAGTAAACAGGCCACTTGCCTATTCAGCTGGCGGCTTGATGGATGCCTACACCTAGATCTTGTCAAATCACTTTGTGGTTGCATGGCTGCCAGGCCCGGAGGTGGGGAAATGAGCTGAGCCGGGCTAATGATGGGCACTGCCCAAGCCTTCCTGGACCCAGGGGTGTGGGCAGAGTTTGGGACCCAAGGTGTGGGTACAAAGGCACAGTTGGCCCAGGTCCCCAAACACCTGTCCCCCCCTCCCCGGCTTCCCTTCTCTATGGAATAGATGCTGGGGAGAGTTGGTGCTCCCTCCGTGTAACAGATGGTCCCTGCGCTCAGGAGGAGGCAGTGGGTTATGAAAGCAGGTTCGATGGAACGGTTTTACCTGAAGGAGGTGTTAATCTCTAAATAACCATGAGTGGGCTTATAGGAATTAGTCATAATTGAGGTTTTTTTTCTCTGAGATAGCTCGCAGTCATGTTATCTTATGACCAGGGTGTCTTGAATATGACACCCCCTGAACATGGATAATTATATAGTACCAAAAGGTATAGAAAGTGCATGCACATACTCAAGTTTTACTGTTAAAAATAATCCAGCAGAGAGCCTGCGAGAACACATGACTTTCCTCATCAAAGTTGTTAAGGAAGAGGTTTCTAAGTTACCAAACTTACTGACAGTTAAACCTTACCGAGGCATGTGTGGGAGTTAGAAGCCAAGTCTGTGATAATTCTGTAGAAGCTGTGGCAAATTAATAGCCATTCCTGGAGGGGGGGTGGCGAGAAGGGGAGCTCGTTCCCAAATTGAGCTTATCTGTGGCAGAACAGTTGGACAATTATGACCTTCTCGTGTCATCCTGAGTTAAAGTGCAGAGCTGCTTAATTACAAGTGAAAGACTTTAGAACTAAGCCAACAGGGGAAAAACCACATTCTTCACAGTTGATCAGAAAATAGATTAAATTAACAAGGAGATGGACCGGCTTTTTTTCATGCCAAGGAGAAGGTTCCTGAACTCCCAGCAGCCAGATTGGGTGTGAAAACCTAGTGAGAAGTGGAAAATGGGAGTGTGGAAAGACCCAGTCTGTGGATGGAATGGAGCGAACATAGAGGCCTTTGAGTTAAGAAAGGGAGGGTAGCTTTCGAACTGGCTAGTGCCTTGGGAACATAGGGGAAGACTGTGTTTTGTTTGGGTGTGGTTTCAGCGGACAGTAAGAGGATACTTTCTAAAATTTGGCAACGTGGGTAAGAGGCACAGGACGATAATGTTAGAATGCAAAGCTACGGGGCTGGAATTGCATTGCTCAGGATTGTGAGGTGAACTGATAACCACTACACTACGGAAACTGCACTGCTCAGGATTGTATGACTAAGCTGGCTTGGAGTAAGTCGGTTTGAGGTTAGGATGCAATTAAAGTGGGGCATTAGAAGGCATTTCTTAGAAAAAGCATTATTTTGCATTTTTGAGGCAAGTTCATAGGCAGTAGCTCGCTGAAATCAACCTTCCGGCATTACTGTGCAGCGGGTGGGGCAGGCGCGGGTCCCAGGATTTGCCTGGCTGGTCAGAGGTGACCAGGAGCAGAACCACCGAAGGCCCCCTGGGGAAAAAGCTCTGCAGCAACAGGTAGGGCTTTTGGACCAAAATAATAGAAAACACTAAGCAAACAGAAAACCAAACACAAAAGCAAAAGAACCTTAACTCTTCTTTTTTTTTTTTTTTAAATTTTTATTTATTTATCCGACAGAGAGAGACACAGCGAGAGCAGGATCACAAGCAGGGGGAGTGGGAGAGGGAGAAGCAGGCTTCTCACTGAGCAGGGAGCCCGATGCAGGGGCTCAATCCCAGGACCCTGGGATCATGACCTGAGCCGAAGGCAGACGCTTAACGACTGAGCCACCCAGGCGCCCCTAACCTTAACTCTTTTTAAGCCTTGACTACACATGCACCGAGCCCGGTGCTTATAGCCGTGGTTACATGATTTTGTATTACTGTCTTCCTGTTGCGGATAAAGGGACTGACCTGAGAGGTATTTAAATAATGTCTTCAAGGTCGTATGGCTAATTCTATAGATGAGGAAAGAGATGTATCAGAAGGGTAGAATGGCGGTCCCATGGTGACTCAGCTAACTCTCAGCAGAGCCTGCAATAGAACCCCGGACTTAGGACATCAGGTCCTGGTTCCTTTGCACTCAGACATGTTGCTGCTTGGGGACCATGAGGCACTGGGAAATTACCAGAAGGGCTTTAGAGGGTGGGGAGACACCCAGTCAGCCTGTGCAGTGGTGGTCAGGATTCCAAGGGAGGACGGGAGCCCTAGACGCCCCACAGTGTCCAGGGAAGGATGTAAGTAGGGCGTGGTAGGGGGAGGTGGTGGTAATTGAGTTAATGAAGGGGCCACCTAGATGGTGAGGAGGGGAGAAAGAGACCCGATCTGGCAATTAGGGCCTGCACAGAAGAATGCCCATGCCTCCTACCGAGCTTGGGAACACGGGGCTTCTGTGGGATTTGGCTAGCACGCATGAACACCCGCAGTGGGAGATGCACATATAGAGGCCCTCAGAGGGTTCACCAGGTAGCTGGGAAGACAGAAGGCGAAGCCTGGTCCTCCAGAACATGGCCGGGTGTCACAAGACCTGGGTTCTAGTTCAGGCTCTGCCAATAGCTGGCTTTGTGACCAGGGGGCAGTTGCTCTGACCCTCTAGCTCCTACATCGTAGGATTAGTGTGTGCCCAGAGCCCCCGGTGGAGTTGGTCTAAGACCAATGGTTTGGTACACGATGGCCCACTGCCAGTTTTGTGTGGCTTGTGGGCTAAGAATAGGCTTTATACTTTTAAATGGTTGGGGAAAAAAATAAAAAGGAGAGGAATCTTTTGTGCCACATGAAAATGATATGAAATTGAAATGTCAGTGTCCATAAACGAAGCTTTATCAGCACACAGCCACACCCGTTCATTTACCTGCTGTCTGCGGCGGCTGTCACACCCCAAGGGCAGAGCTGTGGACTTACGACTGACCCCGTGGCCAGCAAAACTGAAAATATTGGCTATCTGGCCATTTACAGAAAAGGCTTGCTGGCCCCTGGTCTAGAATCTGTGTACCTCCCGGTGAGTTCTGGCCAATGGGCCGAGATCAGCCATGGTGCCCCCCTCCCCTACCCCACACCCCTGGTGACAAAGTTAGGGCGGTGGAGGGATTTTTGACATTAAGTGATTTGTGCAGAGACACCTTGGGGATTACTGTTACTGTTAATCGTAACTAAAAGGGGGACAAAGCTGAATGAAAAGAGGAAGGAAAAGGAAGGAAGGTCCAACTGTGGGTAGAAAGAGAGGGTCAGGATAGGCCCAGGGAAGAGAGGAAAAACGGGTCAGTGGCCTCGAGGGCAGGGCTGAATCATTGGAAGAGAGATCACGTGGCTCCCAAATCCTGAAAACGTGTTCAGAAAAAGTTAGCCAGTCCCTGCTCTGGATTGTGACACGGCTTGTTGCTTCTCATCCCTCTGGTTTCTCAGCTTAAAGTATCCCCTACCCCCGTAAGAATAAGAATTCCCCCCCCCCCCGCCAACAGTCACTCTCTGGTGCCTACTTTGTTTATTTTCTTCACGTCAATTATTACTTATTGAAAATACCTCTTTACTGGTGGGCTCGACACCTGTCTTCCCTCACTCTTGGTTCACTGATTTTTCCAAGTGATTGGAATGACTGATAAGAGCAGAGGAATGAATGGCAGCCGGGGCCCCTCCCCCAATGCCCGAAATCCAGAGAGAAGCCCTCCTGGCCAGTTGGCACTAATTCCGGCCCCTGGGGGTGAATGGCTCGGAGGCAGGAGTCCTGGGAAGTGTAATCCACGGCTTCTCTTCTCTCCTGCTTCCTTAGGGGTCTGGAGAAGCAATGGTCACAGAAGCCCCTGTGAACCTAGCCCCCCCTGAATGCAGCACCAACGGCAGCTCGACAGCTGACAGCTTCATCTGGCAGCCAAACTCGGCCAACATGCATGTCCTCAGGCCCAAGTCCGCCAAGGGACGGACGCGGCCCAGTCTGCACAGACCACAGGGCACAGAGCTGTGCCCTCACCGCACGCCAGCCTCCCTCCCTCCAGCCATCCCCTGCGAGTCGCCAAGCAGCCAAAGACCGGGAGCCTGCGCACCCAAGTCTCCAAACTCGGGAGCTCCTGATGAGATCCCTGAGCTGCTGCAACAGGTGCCAGTTGGTGCATCCTCTTCTCTCAATAAATACCCAGTCCTCCCTTCCATCAACAGGAAGACCCTGGAGGAGGGGTCTGTGGAAACAGTAGCTAAAAAGTCCGGCTCCCTGCAGCTGGGCAGCATCCAGGCTCTTGACCAAGAGGAGACTGGCACTATGAAGACAAGTGAAGAAGATTCCAGAGCTCCTGCTTGTTCCCCAGAGAGGAAAGTCATCGTCCAGACCAGGAGACAGACCTCCCCCAGGGCTGGGGACGTGGAGGAGACATCAGATCGAGAGCCGAGGCTTCTGCTGGCCATCAGATCGCCGTCGGGCCAAAGGTTCGTTCACCATTTCCGGCCCACCGACACCTTACAGACCGTTGTGGCCGTGGCCGAACACCAGAACCAGGCCAGCTACCAGCCCTGCAGTATCGCAGTGATGGGGGTGCCCAGGAGACGTTTCTTTGACCTCACCAGATCTCTGCAGGAGTGCAAAATCCTGCACAAGTCGGTGCTAGGCATTTCTCAGGAAGAAGGGGAGGGGGAGCCCTGAGTCCACAGTCCCCCAGCTGGGATCCTGGGTCTCTGAGTAAGGAGCACGCTTGGGTGCTGTGGCCTTCCCGGCAGCTCAGTACCAAGTGCCATGTGAACCTGGTGCGGCTGGATCCTTGGGACTCATCTTCACAGCCCCTCCTCTGAAGGAGTGAAGTTTGCACATGCGCCAAGCGCACTGAGAAGGTTCTCCTCCAGTCGTTAAATTGCCTCCACCCCTGGAGTGGACTGGCAAGTTACCAGGGCTGTTCCTGTAACCACGGTGACCAGGTCTTCCCCTTCCCCGAGTTCTGGGTCCTTTCTGGAGCACCCGCTTGCCTTTACAATGAACTCTCACTCTCTTGAAGCCAATGGTTTGCCTTTCTGTATTTGATGCAGGATTAAATACTTCCCAGAGAGGATTCTAGTCTGGTAAATAACCAGGGCTCAGGAAATGTCAAACTGGCATTTGTATTTCTTGCAAACATCTTTAAGAAACAGGCAGTTGACACTATCTTGGAAGCAGCCCCTTTGCTGGGCTTGGGTGGCTAGCGTTTCTTGGGGATTACTGTTTGTGTGATGTGGCTTCAGAGGAGAGAAGTCTTTTGCTAATACAAATCCCCCAACACATCAACGTTTCTGAAATAGTCTGAGAGCTAGAAAGTAAACTGCTTGCACCACCATGGGTTAGCCAAGTAGCCACTTTTAAATAGAGAAAAAGTAGGTTGGCAAATATCGGTGGCTACTCTCTGTATGCAGTACTCTTCCCAAACTGAGAAACACCCCTGTAATCTGATTTCCTTTGCTTTTGTCACTAATGGAATCTTTTTGTTTTTAAACTGTACAAACCTACAAGTCTGTACAAGTTTGCCCCGAAGGCCCCCTTGGCTCATCTGGGTATGGAGACGTGGTTTCAGTGTCTGGCCTCCTTCCAACAGAGACTCCCTGGAGCGGGGGCCACAGTGCCCCTGTTCTGTGATTTCGGAACCTCCAGGAGGACAAGGGCGCCTCCATTGGGCGTCACTTGGCCGCACCTGTGCTGAGAGACCATGTGCCCTCGTGTCTGTCTGATTGAATGCCTTAGCCCGTAGCTGTGTTGAAGACCGTGGGGTCTTGGCTTTCCAACTCTGAAGTGGTGATGTGGACAATGTGCCAAAGTTCTCTCGTATTGGGAGTTCAGCAAGCCTTCCAGCTCTCCCTCAGGATCCTCTTTGTAGTCAAATCACCATTCAGAGTAGGGAAGCTGGTCCCTCAAGAGCTCAGCCATCACGAAGTGCTGAGTACGGATGTGCTCTCCCTGCCCCTGGGTACACAGAGAAGGCAGGGGTTCTAGAAGCCTATCAGCGTGGCAGCCTCAGCAGCAAGTGCGTCTTGTACCTAGATAAGGAAGGCAGCTGGAAATGTTAATTCCAGCAACTTGATACTCAGCCATGGAGATTAATGCCAACATCATTTCCTCTAAAGAAGGCTCGCCTTGTCCTTCCTGCATCCCACATCACCCAGATCACTCGAGAGTGGGTTCTTTCAGAATGTGTGGTCCGATTTCCTAATACCAGCTTGGTTGCAAAGGTCAGTTGGGGCTTGCAGGGCCTCGGGCAGGCACATGCAGCTGGCCACCTCTCCCAACCAGCGACCATGGCGGAGGGGACTGGGGGGTCGAGCCCGGTACTCTCAGTACAGACGTTTACCTCCCACCCAGGACTCAGGTGCATATCTGCCTCTGATCTAGGAGGCTGGGGGAAGATCCTCCCCAAAAATCACACCTACTCTATGGTAAGAATAAAATCCCACCCACCTGGGACTCGGTAATTTCTCCAGGCAGGAAATCTGTAGAAAACTTCAGTGAAACGGAGCATGCTCAAGGGAGCTAGAATCTTCTGCACTTAGGGCTTTGCTGCTGCAATTTAGCTTGGAATTTGGGGTGGCAAAAAAAAGTGGAAGGCATGAAACACAGAAATGTTGTAGGGTATCTTAGGACATGTGAATAAAGCTAGATTTGAGCCACCCTAATAAATTTCTTTGGGACACAGGGATGATGACACAATAAAAATTGATTTGTGTGAAACCGAGTCAGTGGAGAAGCACGGCTTCTATTTTAGTGCAGGACTCTGGCCACGGTGCTCTGGCGGACAGAGGGGCTCACCCAACCTCACCTTCTTGGGAAAGCCCTGGACTCTGCTGTGAAATCCAAGTCCTCGTCCCCAGGCACCCTGGCTACCCACCCTTCCCATAGCTCTTGCTTTTAGGTTACAGGATAACACCAAGCTCTGTGTGGCAAGAGTCTCCTGAATTTCTCCTAAAAATCATTCCGAGTCCTCTCCTTTGGAGGTTGGCAAGAGTAGCCTCTATCAGACTGTCAGAGGGATGACTCTGTAGGTGGCACGGTCATGTGGGCACCCTGGTCTCATGGGTGGCCTTGGGTGACCACTTTGTAGTCACAGACCTCACTCATTCATTGAACCAGTGGTCACTGAGGACCTACCCTGTATCACACACGGGTGACTGGCACTGGCGTCCCACCAAGGGACCACTGGCAAGGAAATGTGAGCCACCTCGGGACTCTCAACTCCAACCCGACCGAAGTGGATGGCTGTAGATTTACCCGAGAAGGGCCCTGGAGTGAAGAGCAGAGAGGCTCTTGCTGTCTCCTCGCCGGCCCTGTGGGAATGCAAAGGCAAGTCCTCCCCCACCTTTCTAGCGACAGCACCAGGAATAGTGGTCATTAGGGACGTGAACTTTGCATAGGACAAAGCTTCAAGACCAGTTTTCCCAGCATCTCCCCTGATATGGTCTAAGAGGTAAATTAGTCCTGGCAGCAGAAGGAACAGCAGGAGAAACAAGTGACTCATCATCTAGAAGCCCCAAAATTTTCACCAACAGATGGCAGGTGGTTTTAACACAACAGTCCTTGCCCTGAAAGTACCTGGGGATCCAGCCACCAGCCGGTAAGCCAGGGCAGTCCTGATGAAGAGATGCAGGTGAACTTGACTGTGGGCCAGCAGTCGCTCCAGAGATCCCGCAGAAAATATTCCACAAGCAAAGAAACGTAGACAAGCCTTGAGGTTTCCATTACCATGAAAAACCTTAAAGTCTAGTGACCAATCACTGTCCCAGGCATGCATTACAAAAGGAGGCACTCCAGGAACCAAGTTTCGCTTTTGTCCCTGCGCTTTACCACCATGTCCAGTGGGTTTCTAGTGTCAAATAAAGCCATGCTGCCCCAAGGGGCAAAAAAAAGTTTCTCTTTACACAGTTTTTTAGTAAGTTGAGATAAAAGGGTGCACAGTTTCCTGTAGTTTGAGGTGTATCTTTGACGAGACTTTTATATGGTAAGAGGATCTACTTTCCTACCTTTTAAACGGGGTTGCAAAGAAAACTAGATGATTCAACTTCAGCCTTAGTTGGGAGTCAGTCTGCGAACCAAGCAGGAACATCCGTTTCCATAGTGCACGGCGAAACACCCCACCATCAAGTGCAAGGTCTGGAGCCCCTTCACCCTCGCCCGGAGCCAGAACCAGCCCAAACCCAGCCAAGGTCAGAGGCCACTGCGGGGGAGTTGGCAAAACCCAAGTGGAGCCTCCTTTTGGTGACTCACTCACGAACAAGACAGTAACTCACGTTGTAAAAATAAAATTGGGTGTTTGGTTTTGCGTCTGCACGGGTGATGTGACATTTTCCCTTCCTGAGTAGGGCAGCGTCTGGCGGCCCTCTCTGACGCCCCTCTGTGTTCCTCTACCTTCACACCGTGGAGGAAGCGGCATTGCTCCTGAACGATTTATGCGGAAGATCAGATCTCCGGAGGTATTTTTGGACACACTTGAATCCTATCCCAGGAGGCTGAACCACTGATAGGACAACTGCTGATGGGTATGGTTAAGCAAGCCTCGCTCCGAAGGTCTGCTATGCTGGCAGGGGCAAGGGGGGGGGGGCACTCTGGGTGCTGTGTTGAGAGTTGACGGCGGGGGTCTGGGTGGGAGATGGAAGGCCAGCTCTGGCCATTGCCAGTGACCAGGCAAGAGATGACCTGGGCCAGAACAGCAACCATAGATGTCGTGAGAGGTGTCAGATCCTGGACACATTGTCGGTTAAGGGGGGCAAGAAAAGGCAAGATAGCTTTTGGGATCTACCCAAGTGGATGTCACTTGACCATATCACCACGGGGCACTCTTCCTGCAAAAACGAGCAAACAAACACGTCAGCCACGAACCTGTGCTGGGCAGGGAGAAGCACCGACCGGCAAAAATATTCGTAGGAAAGAAGTGCATGAGTGCTTTCGGATAAAGTGTACAGAGGATCCCAAAGCCATTGATGGCTTTAATTGAGAAGAGATGAAACTGAAATTGTCGCTCTTTCACTGAACATCAATTAATCACCATCTACATCTTGGGGTATGATTCCTGACCAAGGTTCCTTAATAAACCTGGCTCCAATAAAATAACACATTGTTTATATCCTCTCCTCCCTTTCCTGCCTGCTTCTGTTCTGTTCATTCAAACCCAGCAGCTGATTTGGGATGCATTTCTTCTTGGGAGGGCAAAGAAAACCACTGTCCTTTGACCAAATTAACAAAGCTTCCAGATTTCAAGATTTTCATGCCCACCTGTTTTTTACAACGAGGAGATCTATGCAGTAAGGCCCCGGTCCTTTTTGTGAGCAGCTGAGGATGGCATCTTCTGGCATCTGCCCCGTGAGGGAGAGGTAGGTCTGCTCTGGTTGGTGAGTGCCACGGACAAACACACTGGGTCGGCTCCAGCCCCAGCCCCCTGGCGCCCAGAGTGGCCAGCCACTCGCAGACAAACTGTGGGAGAATGGTAGCAGCTCTCCTCCTCTCAACCGGGAAGTACAATCTGGGAATCACCCGCCATCCCCCCTCCAGCCCTGCATCTAGCTTTGGGACGCTGCAGTGTCCACCTAGACCAGATTAAATGTACCAAGTCCCAAAGCCTCTGGATCTAAACTCTGGAGGGTTTGTTAGTTTCCCCAAACCAACCTGGGCCTGGGCCTCAGCTTGCTCTTTGTCACCTTTTTTTTTTTTTAAGATTTATTTATTAGAGAGAGAGAGCACACATGAGCGGGGGGCCTTTGCGGGGGAGAAGAGGGGCAGACGGAGAAGCAGGCGCCCCGCTGAGCAGGGAGCCCAATGTGGGACTCGATCCCAGGGCCCCAGGATCACGACCTGAGCGGAAGGCAGACGCTTAACGGACTGAGCCACCCAGGTGTCCCGCCCTTTGCCTTCTTAATGGAGCTCCCAACCCACCTTCATCTTATTCAAATCATCTGTAACAATTTCATTCAACAAGTATATACTAAGAACCTATAGGCCAGGTACCTGTTAGGTCTATCAATGAACAGAGCAGAGCAAAAGTCCCTGCCCGTACGGAGGTTACGCTTGAATGTGGGGGATACAGAAAAAGAACAATAA